GGCAGATGGCCCCTCCCCACCCCACTCCCAGTGGCCTGCCAGCAGCACCCGGGCCAGGGCTGGTTAATGATGCACGCGCCACGGCTCCCGGGGAGCAGGGCTCACCTCACAGCCCAGCCCAGCACAGGCCGGAGGCGGCTGCACAGAAAGCAGCTGGCGCAGTGCCTGAGCGTCCTAGGAACCACCAGGAGGTCACGGCTCGATTCCTGGTCAGGGCACATGCCCAGGCTGTGGGCTCGATCCCCAGTGGGGGGCGTGCAGGAGGCAGCTGATCTTTGATGCTTCTTTCTCTCTCTCTCTCCCTTCCTCTCTGAAATCAGTAAAAATATTAAAAAAAAAAAAGAAAAGAAAAAGAAAAAAAGGAAGCAGCTGTCACGGCTCAGGAGTCCCATGGGCCGGCGACTGCGATCTCAGCCCCATTTCTTGACGATCCCCAGGGCAACGTGTCCTGAGCGCGGTGACCGGGACTGGTGGCCAAACCCGGGCGCCTCTGGACCCCCAGCCGGGCTTGGCCTGGGTCCAGTCCCCTAATTCTGCCTCTGGTAGGGCCAGACCCTCCCCCGCAGCCTGTGGGGCAGGGAGGAGGGATGCAAAGGGCCTCCATAGGGGGACCAGGCCTCCTCCTGCTGCTGTGGCCTTGGGGTTTGGGGCCTGAGGGCAAGCGGCCGGGCAGCCCATGACTCCGGCAGGAAGACCACACAGGCCCCGCCCTGTGGACGTAGGAGGCGAGACCCACCGGCCTGGGGTCTGTCCGTTACTAGGGACCCATCAGTCTACTCAGAGCTGCGCTGCCCCCGGGGACCCATCCGCCCCCACTCAGGACAGCGGCTCTCCGGGAGCAGAGGGGCCAGGCCCGTCCCCAGCATCTGCCCCGGGCCCCTTCTGCTCTGCCAGCTGCCCCTGGGCACAGGGGGAAGGAGCGGAGATTCGCATCCGCAGAGGAGCAGACTGGGTTCTGAGTGGCCAGGGGGCTCCTTGCAGGGCCTGGCGGGTCCCAGGGCTGCCCCGGCCTGGCCTGGCACGG